GACGACATCTACAGCGATTCGAGCAAAATTTCTTCGAAAAATTCAAACCAAGCCGCATCATGATAGAATATAGTGTGGACCAATAACTGATCAAATATTTATCTCACCTGCCTACAAACAGTTGAATATGATACAAAAGATGACTTTAGGATGATAAATACTACTAATGGACCTCTTATTCTTCCTTATAAAGTCTCTTTTAATCCATTTATACCTCTCATTTCCTCAAAATTTCTACTTTTTAAGCCAATAAATAAAAATTTTGGGGTAACTTTCACTCATTTATGATAGGAATGTTATTATAAATGATTAATTGAAGTATTCAAGCTGCTTGAACTATCCGTATAAAAGTTTACTGTCTCCAAGGAGGTTTCAATAAGACCTTGCGTAAAACTTAAATTTACGCCGCGTTCCAGAGAGGGACATAAAAAACTTCTCTTTTGGTGAATAATTTGTTGTTACTGCTTTAAAAATAATTTCATTTACTTAAAACTATATATTTATTAAAGTATTTCTTAGGAAACATTTTCTAGTATAGCAGAATATAAGAAATAAGGAGAAAAAGCTCCCCAAGACTCTAAGTATGGCTTGTTCTGTCAACTAATATTCATGGTAAAGTCCTATTTCAAGGAAATTTTCTCATAAAATGTATTTTGGAGACTCAATCCACTCAGAATATTTCATTATTTGTAATATTTCACTTAAATAGCAAGAAATTTTAACACATGAGAGTACTCACAAGGTCAAAGGTGCATGTACAGCTTCCCATATTAGGTGTAATACCACCATTGATTTTCCCCTATTAGTCTTTGTTAAATTTGCACTTTTCAAAAAATTGTGCAGAATTTATCTTTGTTTCAAATAAAGAAATACTTGGCATGAGTAAAGTTTTATCCTGTCCAGTACTATAGAAAAAATTTCACATAACATTTCATTGCATATAAGAAAATAACCATCACTGGAAGTTAACCAATCAAATTTTCCCCCTTTTTTAACCTGTGTACAAGCTTTAGTAACCATGTAACCTCAAGTTTCCAAAATATTCTATTGAAACCCCAAATAAAGAAATAATGGTGCTTTGAAATACCCAAGATATATGTTTATGACTCAGAAATGTTTTACTGCAATGAAATGTAGGATCAATTACCTACAACTGTCAAATTCAAGGGAATATTTTTTTTCGACCTATTTTCGTATGCAACCGGATGTGACGTACTATGATTTGGTGGTATTACACCTAAAGAAGACTTTTTTGTTGAATAAACTGAATGTGACTTTTTTCCTTTGTAATACTGGTTATTTCAAGCATTCCTGTCAAGTTTTGTCATAATCAGTTCAATAGTTTGAGAAAAATCTAGTATAATGTAAGACGACATCTACAGCGATTCGAGCAAAATTTCTTCGAAAAATTCAAACCAAGCCGCATCATGATAGAATATAGTGTGGACCAATAACTGATCAAATATTTATCTCACCTGCCTACAAACAGTTGAATATGATACAAAAGATGACTTTAGGATGATAAATACTACTAATGGACCTCTTATTCTTCCTTATAAAGTCTCTTTTAATCCATTTATACCTCTCATTTCCTCAAAATTTCTACTTTTTAAGCCAATAAATAAAAATTTTGGGGTAACTTTCACTCATTTATGATAGGAATGTTATTATAAATGATTAATTGAAGTATTCAAGCTGCTTGAACTATCCGTATAAAAGTTTACTGTCTCCAAGGAGGTTTCAATAAGACCTTGCGTAAAACTTAAATTTACGCCGCGTTCCAGAGAGGGACATAAAAAACTTCTCTTTTGGTGAATAATTTGTTGTTACTGCTTTAAAAATAATTTCATTTACTTAAAACTATATATTTATTAAAGTATTTCTTAGGAAACATTTTCTAGTATAGCAGAATATAAGAAATAAGGAGAAAAAGCTCCCCAAGACTCTAAGTATGGCTTGTTCTGTCAACTAATATTCATGGTAAAGTCCTATTTCAAGGAAATTTTCTCATAAAATGTATTTTGGAGACTCAATCCACTCAGAATATTTCATTATTTGTAATATTTCACTTAAATAGCAAGAAATTTTAACACATGAGAGTACTCACAAGGTCAAAGGTGCATGTACAGCTTCCCATATTAGGTGTAATACCACCATTGATTTTCCCCTATTAGTCTTTGTTAAATTTGCACTTTTCAAAAAATTGTGCAGAATTTATCTTTGTTTCAAATAAAGAAATACTTGGCATGAGTAAAGTTTTATCCTGTCCAGTACTATAGAAAAAATTTCACATAACATTTCATTGCATATAAGAAAATAACCATCACTGGAAGTTAACCAATCAAATTTTCCCCCTTTTTTAACCTGTGTACAAGCTTTAGTAACCATGTAACCTCAAGTTTCCAAAATATTCTATTGAAACCCCAAATAAAGAAATAATGGTGCTTTGAAATACCCAAGATATATGTTTATGACTCAGAAATGTTTTACTGCAATGAAATGTAGGATCAATTACCTACAACTGTCAAATTCAAGGGAATATTTTTTTTCGACCTATTTTCGTATGCAACCGGATGTGACGTACTATGATTTGGTGGTATTACACCTAAAGAAGACTTTTTTGTTGAATAAACTGAATGTGACTTTTTTCCTTTGTAATACTGGTTATTTCAAGCATTCCTGTCAAGTTTTGTCATAATCAGTTCAATAGTTTGAGAAAAATCTAGTATAATGTAAGACGACATCTACAGCGATTCGAGCAAAATTTCTTCGAAAAATTCAAACCAAGCCGCATCATGATAGAATATAGTGTGGACCAATAACTGATCAAATATTTATCTCACCTGCCTACAAACAGTTGAATATGATACAAAAGATGACTTTAGGATGATAAATACTACTAATGGACCTCTTATTCTTCCTTATAAAGTCTCTTTTGGTCCATTTATACCTCTCATTTCCTCAAAATTTCTACTTTTTAAGCCAATAAATAAAAATTTTGGGGTAACTTTCACTCATTTATGATAGGAATGTTATTATAAATGATTAATTGAAGTATTCAAGCTGCTTGAACTATCCGTATAAAAGTTTACTGTCTCCAAGGAGGTTTCAATAAGACCTTGCGTAAAACTTAAATTTACGCCGCGTTCCAGAGAGGGACATAAAAAACTTCTCTTTTGGTGAATAATTTGTTGTTACTGCTTTAAAAATAATTTCATTTACTTAAAACTATATATTTATTAAAGTATTTCTTAGGAAACATTTTCTAGTATAGCAGAATATAAGAAATAAGGAGAAAAAGCTCCCCAAGACTCTAAGTATGGCTTGTTCTGTCAACTAATATTCATGGTAAAGTCCTATTTCAAGGAAATTTTCTCATAAAATGTATTTTGGAGACTCAATCCACTCAGAATATTTCATTATTTGTAATATTTCACTTAAATAGCAAGAAATTTTAACACATGAGAGTACTCACAAGGTCAAAGGTGCATGTACAGCTTCCCATATTAGGTGTAATACCACCATTGATTTTCCCCTATTAGTCTTTGTTAAATTTGCACTTTTCAAAAAATTGTGCAGAATTTATCTTTGTTTCAAATAAAGAAATACTTGGCATGAGTAAAGTTTTATCCTGTCCAGTACTATAGAAAAAATTTCACATAACATTTCATTGCATATAAGAAAATAACCATCACTGGAAGTTAACCAATCAAATTTTCCCCCTTTTTTAACCTGTGTACAAGCTTTAGTAACCATGTAACCTCAAGTTTCCAAAATATTCTATTGAAACCCCAAATAAAGAAATAATGGTGCTTTGAAATACCCAAGATATATGTTTATGACTCAGAAATGTTTTACTGCAATGAAATGTAGGATCAATTACCTACAACTGTCAAATTCAAGGGAATATTTTTTTTCGACCTATTTTCGTATGCAACCGGATGTGACGTACTATGACTTGGTGGTATTACACCATAACAACAATTAAATTGATATATCATATTTCAGTACTGGCTTTGAATTGTTTCAATAGTAATCGTTTATTTGAGGAAAACACTTTTGCTATAATTATCATTTATAAACATGATAAAAACATCAAATAAGGAACAATTAATATAACTGTTAGCGCTTGTTTCAAATCAGTTTAATAAATTTTAAATAAATTCAGTTTTAATTAATAATTGTCCTAACACATTTCACTCAAAATGGTATACAGATAGGTATTTGTAAATAATGGGTATATTTCCTCGTTTTTTGTTTCACTGACCAGTCAAAATATGAAGCTTAATAATGAATTGTCCAATATGAACATTAAACCGTCAAAGTGTCAAATGCAAATTATACGTGTTGGTCTTAAATTTTGCTTTGAAGAAAGACCTTGAACAAAATAATCTAAAAATTGGTTTTAAACAATTGCCGTTTTGGATATTATATAGAATGTGCATCCTACAAGTTTAAAGGTAAATGCTAACTTTTAAATTCAATAAGGATTCCAAATAGTTTAGGAAATCTCTATGCCTGTGAAAATAGCACGATCTTTTTTTAAAATGTGCCACACTACTTCCTGTACGCCTTAAATGTTTATATATACAGTAAGTAAATATAATAGACTATAGTAAGAATGATTATTAGAAAAGAGTAATAAATAATCAAAAATTTTGGTTTAATTATTAGAGTTACAGTGTATTGATACCTGTGACAAATTATTTACCGGTTTTGAAACGATATGAAAACTTGTCATAGCACCACATGAAAAAGGTATCGGTAGATAATACAACACAGATTAAAAGGTATCGGTAGATAATACAACACAGATTAAAAGGTATCGGTAGATAATACAACACAGATTAAAAGGTATCGGTAGATAATACAACACAGATTAAAAGGTATCGGTAGATAATACAACACAGATTAAAAGGTATCGGTAGATAATACAACACAGATTAAAAGGTATCGGTAGATAATACAACACAGATTATATAAAATGAGAACAAACTATATATGAATATCTAACACTGATAATTTTTTTTTTTTAATTTTATTCTATACATGACGATTTATACAGTGTTAATAACAAATTGATATGTTTGAAACGATGATATAAAATGAGTATACTTATCTATAATAACATTAAATAACTAAAGATGTTGAGCGTACATTAATAACATGAAACCCTGGCCCCCTTCAATGATCCTTTATTACACGATTTAAATAAATTTTTGAAATTTACCTATCAAAATGTAACCAACTTTATTCATGAAAATTATGACATCCACTTAAGTGGTGGAAACACCTATAAAAAAACATATTGGTGTTAAAACTTAAAACCAATTTAATCTTCTGAGACGGTCATTTATGACACACTTTGAAGGCGTTTTAAAGTTCTGACCTGGAAACAAGATAGAAATTTTTGATATGGGTTATCTAGAACTGTTTCGTGTTTATGAAGATGGTTATGAACAGATTTTTATCATTATCGGAGGAGCATTATGAAAAAATACCTAGCGGTAAAAGTACTTCTCACGGCTAGTATTTTTCTCACAAATACCCTTCCTGACGATGATATATCTGTTTATTTACACTGGGTAATAATAGAGATAGTTCAGTTAAACATTTACTAATTAATTCCACTATTCTTTTTTACTCAAACCGTAAAAAAAAACCAGCCGCATTTTATAAAGAGCACAAATGAAAAAGTAGCTCAGTGAGGAGTAAAAAATGCATATACGTTTTAGCAAAACCGCGGCAGAGTTAGTAAAACAAAAGGCATATCGTTGTGCATAAACCCGGGATGTTGAAATATGAATAAAATTCTTAATATTTGAAAAAAACATGCAAATCACACTAGCTATCAAACAATCAAAATCTAAGATTCTTAATCAAGCTGTAATTATGTACTAGTATATGATTTGGAAGGGATCTTATTTATTGGAATAATATGTAAAGTTTAAATTCGTAAGTGTGACATCACTGAAACCTTTATGAAACAGCTTCTGATATCAATTAACAGTAATTTAAAGCATTTTATAAAAATAAAAATCCTTTATGATATTTTAAAGTTCAAAGTCGGACATGAATTGCAAATAAACAGACAAATGAGTAGACGGACAGTTAAACAGTTTGATTTTCATTACTCTGTCCGCGTAAAAACGTAAGAAATACGCTGCACCTAACAACAATTCTCATCATGTGGTTTCCGCCGTCCATCCTTTTTTTTTTTTTGGTGGTATAAGTAACAAATCATAACTATTCTTGGTAATAAATATTGAAATTCGTGTCCAACAATTTCGCTAAATTTTCCAAGCAGTTGTCATCATCTTCACAAATTCTTCATCTGTATCTATATTGGCACCTACGCCACTGTAGTAATTAGTAAATTCTTCTTTGGTCACCTAAGTCACATAAAGGTTAAGTTAAACAGCGCAATACGAAAAATTAAGTGACGTAAACTTTAAGGTTAAGTCAATCAGTGCGATATAAACAAAACTACGTCACATGAAGGGTATAAGTCGAACAGTGCAATATGAAAAAAACTAAGTCACATAAAAGTTAAGTCAAAAAGTGCAATTTGATAAAACTAAGTCGCATAAAGGTTAAGATAATATTGCAATATACAAAAAAAGGAATTTTACCAAAGATAAATAAAAACCAAGTTTAATTGATTGTTTAAATTAGCAATGATATGGTAGATTAACTGGCGTGTATAGTTTTATTTTATCTTGAAATCTCTTTGCGCGTACTGTTTCTTTTAGTATAAAAATGTTACTTCTACATATGCTAATTTTCCGTTTGTTGAATTTGTTCGTACCTGTTTTCAACTTGATGCTCCAAGAAGCCTGTATTGCTCACCTTGTATATAAGATTGATACAATGGCTACAATGATTCGTCTGACAGTTTAGGTCTAAATAGATTGTAGGTAGATCTTGATATTCTGAACATGATCATGATTTGATTGATAAAGGGTTGCTGCTTAATAATTTGTTATGTGCTTTTCGAAAAGGATAAGGTTGTTAATCCTTGCATCCCAAGCTTATTGAGAACTGGATAAGAGATTAGATCAAAACGAGTATGATCACGCCTAGAATCTTTTTAATCATGAAGCAAATATTGAGCATAATAAAAAAAAATGCTGCAGTGGTTCCTGTTTGAGATCATCGAGTGATGTCGAATCAGAGAAACAATTAGTTAGGTGTAAGAAAATCCGTATCTCTCTTTGCTGACTTTTTGAAAAGTCGTAGACAGTGTGTAACCATTAGTTATATGTCTTTAGTAATGAAGAGAACATCAGAAAGAGGATATTTGTTCAAGGGGTCAATACTAGGGCCTCTCCTGTTTAATTTTTTCATATAAGATATTTTTTGAAGTATGAAAAAGTGTTCATTTTATTATTATACTGATGATAATACATTGCTCCTATCAGATTTAAAAAAAAATATTACCTAATTAAAACCATTGAACAGGAATGTGGCAAGCTTATAATTTGGTTTAGAATAAATAAAAAAGAACTGATACTAATTATCTTTCGCCCCTCTTTATCAAAACTAAACAAATTAACTTTTTTTCACACATAAATTACTTTCAAATTTTAGTTGCTGTCCATTTTCATAGTAGTTCTGTTGTGAATCATTTGTGGGGAAAGTCGGAGTTCCTTGAGAGAACGACCGACCTTCGGCAAGAAAACTAACAATCCTAAAATAAAAATTGGAGTTCGAATACATTTCAACATTTCAACATTTCATAACAACCTCAGCATCAAATCAGACGCATGAGAACGACGGAGGAAGATATTTTCAAAATCCTAAACGGCCTAGGTCCTCCGAGTCTGAACGATCTTGTCTCTTCTTGTTGATGTATATGTTTTCATTGTCAAATAAAAAGCTCTAGAAAGCCCTTGTTTTGTATGCATTCAAAACAGACTTTGAATAACATTTATCCTATCTTATCTCAACACCATTGAAGAGAGTTAAGTAGACTTAATACTCGTCTGGCGGACCAGATCCTAAGCCTGGTATCTTTGATTGTTGTTTATCGACAGATGTTAAATATTGAAATATCTTTTCGACTGTCTATTGATCAGAAAATCAACGACTTTACTATCTTGATCCTCCGATTGAATTGAATCCAGGAGAAAGCTTATTACAATTTCGCTCGATAACAAACAGTTGTTGCATGATACGGGTTATGTTCTTCTAATATATTTTATGATGGTATGATACTAAACCCCTAACGGGAGGGATTGTGCTTGATTTTTATATGATGAAGACATAATCTTTCAATCAGTTTATTTGAGGTCTGGAGCTGGCATGTCAAAAACTGCTAGTAGTCCTTTGTTGATTTATGTTATAATTGTCATTTTGCTTAGTTTCTTCTGTTACCTATTCTAATATCGGACTCGGACTTCCTTTAAACTGAGTTTTACTGTGCGTTTTGCTATGTGTTTGTTTATTCTACATTGTCTAGAGGTATAGGGGAGGGTTGAGATCTCACAAAACATGTTTAACCCCGCAGCATTTTTGCGCCTGTCCCAAGTCAGGAACCTCTGGTCTTTGTTTTTCTTGTATGTTTTTTTTAATTTTGGTTCATCTATATGTTTCGGAGTTTAGTGTGACGTCCATTTTCTCTGAACTAGTACACATTTTTATTTAGGGGCCAGCTGAAGCCTGCCTCCGTGTGGGGGATTTTCTCGCTGTGTTGAAGACCCATTGGTGGCCTTCGTTTGTTATCTGCTCTTTGGTTGGGTTGTTGTTTCTTTGACACATTCCCTGTTTCCATTCTGAATTTTATTTTGGTTACTCCTATTGTTAAAATTTAAATGGTGTGGCCTTATGTTCTTAACTTACCATCATTTGAAATAGTGAAAAGACTTTGTGAGGTTTATTTTATTTTAATTTTCATAAAATACATTAATATTCTCATATAATGTCAAGCATGATGATAAATCTAAATTAGAGGCGTTTGTTTTTGTTATCGTCTGACCTATTTTTTATTCAATGAGGGAAAAAGTAAGTGGCACAAATCGTATAAAAATTTTTTTTTAGTGAATTCAACTGGAGTGAGCGATAACTCTTATACATATAAGGAAGTCACATACATAAGAAACAATCCTAAAATGTTTTTGTTTACCTTTCCATCTTCAATTCCCTTGTCAAACACGTGAAGAAATTCGCTCAGAACTTGGTCTTTTGTGAAGAAACCACTCTTATAACTAGGGTGATTCTCAACATTGTAATCATCCCTAAGATCTTCAAGGGTAATCACTCCGTCACCAGTTTCTTTGTCAAACTTGGCAAATGCTTTATTGATGATCGAAATTCTCGTCTGTGACATAGGAGGCTGGTATGTACCAATTAAAATATAACACAAACATTAAAGTTGAACTGTAAAAGTACACATAGAAAACAACGAGTCAGATATGGATTTATCTAATTGCCCTTCCCTCATTTATCACTATTTGTTATCGTTGTAGGGAGTAGGTATTTATGTAGCCGAAACCGTCTAAAATTTTCAAACTTTCAGTATACTTGCATGATTTATAACATATTTGTCTAAACATTCCCTATTGATAGTTAAGAAATTACTTTAAAACTAAGGTTCTAACTCCATCAGGAAAGGTTGACCTTAAAAGAATTCAGATACTCTTTTGGGTTCCATTTGATCACATAGTACCTTTCTTTTCTGCGCATTTATGCATCCTTGTCTTTCTTAAGATATTGTTTGAGAGTTCCTGATGTAGGTTAATCCATAGAAAGCACTTTGGACGCACGAAATTTTAAGAGTGTTATTTTCAATCAATTTGGCATCTAGTGTCACGAGATAAAGAAAGAGAGAGGACGTGGGTGAGAGAGAGTCAGAATATGTGCGACAGAGAGAAGCGGAAGACACCAAAGGAATATTCAAACCCATAAGTTGATGACAATCTGGTAACGACATGTGAGTCTTCCAACCATTACAATCTCGAACAGGATAAGAATTTTGTTCGAAAGCCATACTATATATATCTTGTTTTAAGTACAAATTTAAGCGTCCTTGCTTCAAATGTGTTAATTCACAAGATTATCATCGTTTAATATTTACGAAATCTGCGGCGTGGAAAGTGTAACGACTATTCAACAGCGGTATACTACTGTTGCCTTTATTTATCACCACCGGATCGGAATCTCTGCTGGTGGACAGTACTGTCCCCGAGGATTCTACCAGTCCGGTAGCCTAACAGCATGAATGCAAGTAGAATAGATATATCGATTTATGACTATTGAACAGCGGTATACTACTGTTGTCTTTATTCATCACCACCGGATCTGAATCTCTGCTGGTGGACAGTACTGTCTCCGAGGATTCTACCAGTCCGGTAGCCTAACAGTATGAATACAAGTAGAATAGATATAGATTTATGACTATTGAACAGCGGTATACTACTGTTGTCTTTATTTATCACCACCGGATCGGAATCTCTGCTGGTGGACAGTACTGTCTCCGAGGATTCTACCAGTCCGGTAGCCTAACAGCATAAATACAAGCAGAATAAATAAATCGATTTATGACTATTGAACAGCGGTATACTACTGTTGCCTTTATTTACGGACAGCATCATCTTAGTGCAGTTATTTTTTTTAATTCATACAACAAAAACTGATCAAAGACTAAAGAGCCTGAAATTAAGATTTTAAATCGTCGGGATGACACTTAATTCAAAAAACAAAAACAAAGATATAATTTATTCTAAAAAAATCAATGAAAAAAAAACCCAATTATGACAGAAAACAACAAACGACTTCCACTAGATTTAAAGCGGCTCCTGACTTGGGATATCCACATAAAGAATGTGATGGGAATTAAACATGTGTTTGAGATTCAAACCCCATCCTAACATGAGACAATGGCTCAACAATAGATCATTTTTTTAAAATCAATTGGCAATGGAATCGACTCATCAGATTGGTATTTAGCCCACACATAATAAACAAAATAACAAAAGACACAAGTTACCTACCTTAGAGTGCTCGACGTTATTGAAAGCGTGTTTAAAAGTACAATTTCCACTAATTATAGTTCATGTTTTCCAGACTAAAATATTAATGAGTTCACCTGAATTGTATGTAATATGCTGGTTTTTATTTTATTAGTAATAAATATTAGCCATTCTTCCAATTCAAATGATGGTGTCTATTATGGCTATTTAAAATATCTGGTTTCTAGGCTAATGAACCAATTTAAATGGCGACATAGAATTGCAATTTGACTGGTACAGGTGTTTTTCAAATGGTCATATCGAATATAGTAAAGGTTGCTAGGTATTTTTTTAAACAAATATATCATGTCCAGAAGGGGTATATTTGGGAAATTCTAGTCGAGAGAAGGCAAAATTTTCTGATCCGCAAGACGACGAGAACTTCTTCTCACACAGTTGGCTTTAGAAATAACCCTTCTTGAACAATATATATATATATATATATATATATATAGATTGCCTAACAATGTAATTTTAACACACTATTTAGTATGTAAATATAAGAATGTTTAAAATATTTACAAAATGATGAAAATAAACGCAATATTTCGCTAGACTAACTAGCTTTATCAAGCGTGCATCTATCCAGGTGAAATCGGATGTAGATGATAAGAAACTTTTGCAGCTCAATGTATATGTTGCACTTGAATTTAGCTGCCTTGAAAATAATACATAATTAGGATGAAGTTCAAGATTTTTTACAAAATTGGTAGTTGAAGTTAGCAACGTCCATTGGCCAATATTACAGGATAAAAAGGACGATGCTGAGTACTAAATTATTCTTTATCTTTCCTGTATCTTTTCTCATCTTTTTCGTTAAGACGATCAGGTTCTAAAGTGTGGAGTTGGTGGATCCAAAAATTTTCTCTTCTCCTTCTCGCCGTGGTGTCCCACTCGGTGTTGACTTCTATGATTTGGAAAGTAACATTATCAAAAGAATGTTTCGTTGAACGAAGATGTCTTGTGAGAGGACAGTTTTTGTTGGTTTTTTTGGATCCACCAACTCCACACTTTAGAACCTGATGGTCTTAACGAAAAAGATGGTACAAAACCAACAAAAACTGTCCTCTCACAAGACATCTTCGTTCAACGAAACATTCTTTTGATAATGTTACTTTCCAAATCATAGAAGTCAACACCGAGTGGGACACCACGGCGAGAAGGAGAAGAGAAAAATTTTTGGATCCACCAACTCCACACTTTAGAACCTGATGGCCTTAACGAAAAAGATGAGAAAAGATACAGGAAAGATAAAGAACAATTTAGTACACAGCATCGTCCTTTTTATCCTGTAATATTGGCCAATGGACGTTGCTAACTTCAACTACCAATTTTGTAAAAATCTTGAACTTCATCCTAATTATGTATTATTTTCAAGGCAGCTAAATTCAAGTGCAACATATACATTGAGCTGCAAAAGTTTCTTATCATCTACATCCGATTTCACCTGGATAGATGCACGCTTGATAAAGCTAGTTAGTCTAGCGAAATATTGCGTTTATTTTCATCATTTTGTAAATATTTTAAACATTCTTATATTTACATACTAAATAGTGTATTAAAATTACATTGTTAGGCAATCTATAATTTTATTTGTGTAATTGAATTAATCTCTGTACTGATTAATCCACACTCCCATAGATTTGTATGTCATGTGCTGCTATTTATATATATATATATATATATATATATGTTTAATTACACCAAACATCAACAGAGAGTTAAATATTCAAAATATAATTCCATTATGCTTTATGTATCAAGACGTTTACTTAAAAAACAGTCACATCTGATAAAGTTCACAAATGACCAATTGTCTTCGTTGAGGGGGAAAAGCAAAAACGTTTCAGCAAACATCACGACAGAGAGGAGAGAAATAACATATCGTTGTGTATTTACAACGGATATGGTGAAATATAAACAATAACTCATTTGAAAATAGAAAATACTTTAAAAATACACAAGCTACCAAACAATACAATCTATGATACTTATATAAAGTGTGAGTAGTAGTAACGAACCCCTGACGTAACCAGCTATTTTATTGAGAATGGAAATGGAGAATGTGTCAAAGAAACAACAACCCGACCAGAGAGCAGAAAAAAGCCCAAGGCCACCAATGTGTCTTCAACACAGCAAGAAAATCCCACACCCGGAGACGGGCTTCAACTGGCCCTTGAACAAAAATGTATACATGGATTACGTTCACTGACATTCAAATCGTCAGTGCAGAAACCGGCGTGAAAAAAGTGCTGGAAAATATACACGCGGTAAGAAGGGAACAAAGAAAATTGCCCTAATAAAAATGAAAAACTACATTCTGGAACAAAAAATCATACATAAATTCTGACATAAATTTCAACGTACATATAAAGTATCGCTTATGAAATACAAATATCTAAAAACTGAAAACAACAGATTATAAATTGCATGCGTCCGAAGCGCTTTTCTGGATTTACCTTCATCTAAATCAACAATATTGAGTCAGTCTTTGGGTAAATTTAAGCAGTATAATTCTTAAAAAATTAAAGCAAGTTTCTCAACTAGAATTGAATTCAATTTGGTCAGATCTTTAATGAGTTTGACAATGACTTTTGATTTGCCACATTGAGGACTGGTATGAAAGGAGCGAAAAGGGAATAAATATCATTTGACGATAAACTTATATGCAAGGTCAAAACCGTTGTTGCGGTCTTCTGTAATACACATGGCCATAGTACTTATATCTAGATTTCGATTTTTCACAGTCGGATGGTGAAGAGGAATAATTTTCTAAAATGACCTATGATATCACTTACGTATAATTAGATTTAAAATCTATTGTGTTTTTATGCTAAGCGAAAAGTTGCTCTAAGTTATCAAAATTCAAGTTTTGGGCTTTGGAGATTTTAGATAAGCTACATATGGTAATGAAATCAATAATCTGTTAATAGATTTTATTAAAAGAAACTACTTTTTATGTGCTTCGGATTACAGTTGAATTAAATTGTTTACAATGAGATCTATGATCGCGTTGTCCGTTATAAACTATATTCACGATTTCTATATAAGAAATGTTTGATATGTTCCCCTGTCCCATGATAATGCCATTGAGACCAAAATGTTATGCGAATATAAAAAAGAAGATGTGGTATGATTGCCAATGAGACAATTCTCTTCAAGAGACCAAATGACGCAGAAATTAACAGCTATAGGTTACCTTACGGCAATCAACTATGAGCAAAGCCCATACCGCATAGTCAGCAATAAAAGGCCCCGAAATCACAAATGTAAAACAATTCAAACAAAAAAACTAACGGCCTTATTAATGTACAAAAAAATGAAC